TGACAGCGAAGAATCATGAATTATTTTTTTTATTAACAGTATTGAAATGAAATGATAAAGAAATAAAATGCATTACAATTTTAAAATCAATTAGTTTTAAAAAATATCATGAATTATTGATGTAATATAATCGGAACCACCGGATGCATAAGACCCTCCAATCACATTCGGCAATCCAGTTCCAAACCGTGTCCGTAGATGTGTAGTCATCGTTCCCACAAGATTAAATTTATTAAAAAAAGGTCACATCAATAATATGAATTCAAGTAGGCAAGCCTTTCATTTACTTTTACATCGTGCTGTGGCTTGTGTAATGATTCTGTCAAGTACGCCTCTCATTTACTTCAACATTGTGGGGGTTACTTATAAAGTTCGCGGAAAATGTTTCCAATGGTGGGATTAAGTCGGTGATGGCAGCTACCAAGTAGGAGGAGGGAAGTTTCCTTGTGCTGGGATGCAGGGTGGTTTGCATCAGCTTGGTTTTTGTGGTTAGTTAGAAATGGAAAAGTATTCAAGAACAAGAAAACTGATGAGGGGAAAATATTTGAGCAAATTTAGTTAAAAATTTTCCACTGGATTAAAGCAAGATGTAAAGGAGGTTTGTTTTGTTTCTCGGACCGGATAAAAATCTTGTAAATTGCTTAATTGTTAGTAATAGGTATTTTTGACTTAGTATTTATTCTTAAAATTTCCATAAAAAAATATAAGACAATCAAAAACTACAATAAGAAGGTACAAAGAAAAATAATATATATTCGTAATATTAAAAAATATATAAAAGACAAGAGAAAAAAAAAAAGAAGAAGATTAATTTAATTAGTCTTTATTTTATTTTATTTATTTGATTTTGTTTTGCAGGTACTTAGTAGCATACAATAAAAGAGAAAGGTTACAAGTTTAAAGGAAAAGAGGAACTGAATTGGACTCATGAACATAACAAAAGCCCAAGTAGCCAACAATCCAAACCCAATATCATTAAAGTCATGCAAAACCCATTTTTTGCCAAGTCCAAATGATGATGCACTCATATAATTACCATCCAAAACCATCAAAAACCTAAAAAAGAAAAAAAAAATCCTCTGTTTCCACTCGCTATCATGGAATTCATGACGTCGTGAAGCTGGTGGAGGTCCCAAGAGCCATGTATATGGGTGTGTGTTAGGGGTGGTAAAAATTTACCTCATTCGTCAATTCAACCTTAAATTAAACGGTAAAAATTGGTTAAGATCTATATATTCCAACTCATAACTTGGAAATAATTTGTAATATCAACTCGTATAGATCACAGATCGAGTTAGGCTTAATCCACAAGTTGATAGGTTGATTTGTTTACTTAATTTATTATTTTTTTAAATACTATATTTATTATTCTTAATTAATTTTCTTATTGATAACTCTCTTTATAAATTTTCTTATTGATAACTTTCTTCATTAATTCGTACTCTTTAACCTCATTTCCATTACTCAAATGGTTTTGAACTTATTTTGAGTATTTACTCATCATTATTTCTTTTTCTTTCTCTAGAAATTACGTGAGTTTGAATATAATTACCAAGTATTATGAATTAAATAATAATACAACTAAAAATATTAAAAATGTGATGCTAGGATATAAATATAATAATTTAATAAAAATGTTCTTGGAAGAGGAATTTCATCATTAAAAAAAGGACTTAAACTCCTTTATAATGTTTCAAGATGATTGTAAAATTAAAATTTTATTTTCCAAGAAATTTAAATATTTTAAGTTTAATATTGTTAATAAACTTACTGTTATTTATAATTTTATGATTTTTTCTTAATTTAAATATTCGTAGTGGAGACTATAAAGTGCTTTTAATGAGTTATAATACTTTAATTA